AACTGTACAAGTCACTGAATAGGATCAAAATTATAGTTACAAGAATGCACAAAGGGATACTCTTATGGTGCCTGGACTGTTCTCTCCAGGGTTCCCTCACCTGAAATAATACATTAGAGATGCTCTTATAATTAGACATCTGTCTATAAAACATGTGTTTTTCTGGTATTATCAGACTCAGGTATACATCACTTACAAAGTGATGGAAAACTTAGGTTCCATTTGATCAGCTCTGGATGAGAATCTGTTGATTCTTTGATCTCCTCTCTGGCCCAGATTTCTGAATTATGTAGGTGCCGTACCACTTCATAAGCAGCTAAAATACTAGTCCCCTGCTTCTTGATGTTTATAATCTGTGGCCTCAATCCTTCAAAGACATACCCCCATAACTTTAAATGTGAACAGTCCGACTGAGTTTAAATAGCCATGCTTTGCAGGATAGAGGTCTAAATTATATCATGAACACTACACAAAAGTAGCAGAGAAGGATAGATTGCTAGAGCAGATTGCTAGTTTATTACTTTCACATTTGTTGTTGGATACTTAGGATTTTAATATTTAAAATAAATGTAATTCAATTTAATATTTATATTCTAAAACTATAAATATAAATTCTCATTGGAAGACGTTGTGGAAGGAGTGTGTTAAGGATGCCTTTAAATGGAGTGGCACACAAGACAAAGAAAGCTATTCCAGCGATCAGGACAACATGAAAGATGGGTTGCAGATGAGAGAAAGAAGGCTACAAATAATATATTTACATCGCATTTTCCTTCAAATTTCCTTCCATCATACTACCACTGCTAATAATGGTGGGAGTGCTAGTGTAGACTATCTGCCAATATTTTAACCACTGTATTGTGTATGCTTGCTCAGAGCAGATCTAGGTGACATGATAGTTAAAAAGCCAGTAACCAGGTGTCCACAGTAGTGATCCCAAGATGGCGGAAAATTTGAAGGAAAATACTAGTGTACACACAACCAAATGTGATAACTAGTTAGGAGGCTTCAGTGAAGTCAGCGGGGCAATGTTTAGAAAGATACAAGAGCAGAGATGAAAGCAGGAGTGTAAATGTAAAGAGCCTCACTGGTGAGGCTGAGAAATTTGAACCTGGTATGAAAGGTGAGAGGAAGTCAATGGAGAAAGTCATTTAAGGGGTTAAGCTGATCTGATCACTGATCCAGAGAGATGACTTTACTAGTGGCATTTGTTATGTACTGGAGGAGAGGCAAGTCCGAGGTAGGGAAGCCAGGGAGAAGGAGTTGCAGTAGTCAAGTAGATAATTGACTAAGGTAGGGCCAAGAGATAGTGATCTAAGTGCAGGAGAGAGGACAGATTTTAAAGATGTTTTAAATGAAGAACAGATAGGATCTGGCAACAGCCTGGATGTGGCCCATTTTATTTCTTGTAGGGTCAATATTCTGTGTGTATAGTATGTGTATAGTTCCATTCTATGCATCCGAAGAAGTGGGCTGTAGCCCACAAAAGCTTATGCTCAAATAAATTTGTTAGTCTCTAAGGTGCCACAAGTACTCTTGTTCTTTTTGTGTGTATAGTAGACATTCAGGATGTGAATATGTAGTAACCCAGATCACAATGTGCCTCTCAAATTATTTAGTTGCATGTGAAAATTAGCAACAGATATATCCTGTCCTTTTCAAGAGTAATAGCTTTTGCGGTACATCAAAAAATAGATAGATGCTTTAGGCTAATGGACTTGATAGCTCCTTCCCTTTTCTATCCAGGGCTCCTAGTGAATAGTCAGAAGATTTCTATAGCATTTGTGCTTTGTTTATGTAAAGTGTAACATGCCTACATTTGGAATACAGTAAAAAGCTCATTAAAGAGCTTGTATAATGGAACTATACATTTGCTGAGTGTTAAGACATCCCAGGTTTGGAAATGCTGTTATATTATAAAAGAAGATTCCATGTGACAGTGGCTTTGACTATCTATTCAGGATCTATAGTATTTAATGTAACTACACAGAAAGAAATTTACTAATTTGCCCTCATTGAAATCATTACACCCATCAAAAAGAAGAATGTCATAAAAATATCTTAAGATTTCCCCTTCTATTTTGATTCGTATTAACAGTGCTTTAAAATACTACAGCCTTTAAGTGCCAAAAGGGTCCTATAGTTTATTGCTAGTTTTTAGAAATCATCAAATGCAAACCAATTTTATCTTGTTCCCCATACCTTCTTTACTGTTATGTTCCATGTGCCAGAAGCAACAAATATAGCCCTCAATTCTGTAAACACTCACCCAAGTGCTTAACTTTAAGCATGTAATTAGATTACTCATCTGGTTAAAGTTAAGCAGATATGTAAGTTTTTGCAGGATTGGGGCCATAACCAGAGAGCTGCTCTATTTTATCAGTTTCACTTTGTTTCTCTGCTTGTACGTGGAGCAGAGGTGCTGGGAAGGGAAGCAGTGAGGGATTTGGACTGGGAAGGAAGGGTATGCAATCAAGGAATAGGAGGGGAGTTAAAGAGAAGCAACCAGGAAACAAGAAGGGATAGAAGCAATAATGAAGAATGGAAAAAAGATGCTGATGAAGAAAAGGATGGCTAGTTTTTGGTGTTGACCTGAATAGTAAAAGTTACATCCCTATTCCTAATGTGAAGGACCTTGAATTAGGGGATTAAAAAAAAACATAATATTTTAAAAAAATAATTAAAAAAATACAGTATATCCCAAAATAAAGACATTTCTTTTCTCCACAATTTTTCAAATATCAAAATTTTAAAAAAATTAATACAGTAAAAAGCATAATGTATTTCATGGAGTGTAGTTGTACCAGAGACCGAAGAGTCCAAATGTATTAGATAACCACACTTATTGGTTACTTTCAGCCTCTTACCTCACAGAGCACCTGAGGTGTGTGTACATCTGCTTATGACCATACACCTTGTCATGTCTTTTTACTTGCACATAGTGGTGCCATGTATCAGTTGTAAGGCAATCATTCACATGACCATTTCAGGCTCTCTTCACATCTACAGGTGAGAGAGAATGGGCTAGTTCAGTCCTTGACAATGATCATATGTTCCTTGAAATTGGCTGCAAATTATTATAGTCAATAGTAAGTGGAGCAGGTATGGTACCTTAACTTCAAGAAAGAAATCTTGTTTTAGAAGAGTCTTGTGGATTTTTTCTTTTTCTTTGTTTTATATTTTAAATTCTTGGGGATAGCCACTTAGAGTGAAGGCTCAGAGCATGTTATTGCTCATAACAATCAATATCTCCTTTTAAAAATTGCTTCAGGAATGTGGAGTTTCTCAGTGAAATCAGGTGGTGATTTTTAAGATCCTAATTTACATAAGAGACAATAGATGGGATTTTCAAGTGCACTCAGTGTGCTGAGCACTTTTGAAAATCATACTGACTGTCAACAGGATAAAATATTGACCAGTGAACAACAGCTGCTGCATTTAATATTAAGACATTTATTTTCTGAGCAGGATATGTTGATTCTATGATGCTTATTCTCCTATTACGCCAAACGACTGGTACTAGAGTGAGTAGTTGCATCAACATTTGTCATAGAATAGCTGCACTGTGATTGTTTTAGATCGAAAGATATTAAATGGAATCTCTGCCAGTCCATCAAACCGTTGGGATGATTATTTTTTTAAATGACCTCAGCGAGTGCAATACCAGTTATCTTTATACAGTATTCTTTGAAACAAACGCCTTTTATTGTCAAGATGGTTTCTTATTGGAGGAGAACAGCCTTCCGAGGGAAACAGTGGGGGCGAAAGACCTCTCTGGCTTTAAGATTAAGCTTGATAAGTTTATGGAGGGGATGGTTTGATGGGGTAAAGTGATTTTAGTCAATAGGTCAACAACGTGCCATCGCTGGTAATTAGCAACAATGGTCAATGATGGGATATTAAAAGTTACTACAGAGAACTTTTTCCAGAGGGTCTGGCTAGAGAATCTTGCCCACATGCTCGGGGTTCAGCTGATCGCCATATTTGGGGTTGGGAAGGAATTTTCCTCCAGGGTAGATTGGCAGAGGCCCTGGAGGTTTTTCGCCTTCCTCCGCAGCATGGGGCAGGGGTCGCTTGCTGGAGGATTCTCAGCGATTTGAAGTCTTTAAATCATGATTTGGGGACTTCAACAGCTGAGTCAAGGGAGAGAATTCTTCCAGGAGTGGGTGGGTCAGCTTTTGTGGCCCGCATCATGCGGGAGGTCAGACTAGATGATCATAATGGTCCCTTCTGACCTTAGAGTCTATGAGAAAGCACAGATTGTTTCCTTAAAGTGTTCAGAATTTAGCAGTGTAAATTATGGGCATGAAGCTAAATTACATCAGCATCTATCATCGGAAAAGATTATACATACATCAGGCATTTGATGTAATGGATTTAAAGTCCTTACAATAAAACATTAAAACAAGTTATACTTCAGCCAAACACAAGTTTTTCTTGGGCTCTGTACAGGGGTAACTGAGTGAAATTTAATGGACTGTGATATATAGGAGATCAGACTAGCTGATCTAATAATTCCTTCTGGCTTTAAACTCTGTGAATCTATGAAAACATCACAGTCATACTTTGTATGCAGTGTTGTTGTAGCTGTGTCAGTCCCACGATATTAGAGAGACAAGGTGGGTGAGGCATCTTTTATTGGACCAGCTTCTGTTGGTGAGAGAGACAAGCTTTCGAGCTTACACAGGCTTTTCCCCAGGTCTGGGAAACATACTCAGAGTGTCACAGCTAAATAGAAGGTGGCACATATTGTTTAGCATAAGTAGTTAACATATTTCAAGGGAACATTCCTTTGAAGGGACCATTCTCTATGCTAAACAATCTGTGCCACTTTGTATTTAGCTGTTACCCTACCAGTAATCTGATTGGCTGCCACAGATTCAAATTTCTCATAATAACCGATTTAAACAGACCTTTGCAGCTTTAAAGAAATATGTTCTGCTTTATCCTATTTGTCAAAATATATATTTCCTTCTAACTGCTTGACATTTCTCTTTAAGTGAGCGAATACCCAGCCATTCCCAGATATGGTCCAGCAAGCCCATTTAAAGGACATTTAAGTACTCAGAGTAATGGTAAGTAATATGTATGATTTGATAAAAGGGTTGTCATGGTTGCTTTGTATGGACATGTTTATTTTATGATTTTAAAAAATGTTTATTTCATTAAAACCTTTGACTTAAACTTTTACTGAGGTTTTAATAATAGTAATATACAAATGTGCTTTACTGAAAGGACATTTGGTCTTTTCACATTGGATTTTATGTATCTTGGTGCTTTTGCTGGCTAGAATACATAAAATTACAGCTAAAAAGGTAAAAATACTACCTTTAAGTGTTATTTCTTATGAGCTAATGGCTCAAATAGAACGAATCATGTGTATTCTAATATGATACTGAGCTTGTTTCCATTCAGGTGATGAAGAAGCTATGGCTCCCATTGAGCAAAGCACTTAAGCATATGTATAACTTTAAGATTGTGAGTAGTCCCCTCTATTCTGTAGACCACTTAAACATGTGTTTAAATGCTCCGCTAAAACAGTGCCTATATTTATAGGGACTTCTTGAACTCTGTCCAAGCTAAAATTTTTGTGTCCTAAGATATCTTAAACAAAGATTATGTTTAAATAAAAAGAAATGATTGAAAATGGTTTATGACTCTATGGGTCAAATCTGATCATGTAAGGTGCTGAGTGTGATGAACTCCCACTAATGTCAACATTTCACAGCATCAGGCCCTTATCCACAATGTGCTGAGTTTAGGAATCTCTGTTTCCCATGTAACAGTTGGTAATATCACTAAAACTTCTAACAATGTGAATAACATTTTCCTGCAGACCCTCACCTTGGGGGCTGGCAGGTAAATGGAGGGGAGGGACAACTAACAGTATTGTTTTTAAATGTATTTATTTATACTGATAAAATTTAAATATTCTGTTACTGGTTTGGAATAAAAGTTTTTAAAAGTTTGGGGTTGGATGGATGTGGTGGAAGTGATGGAAAACTGGGACTTTATCCACTCAGCATTTTAACTATGAAAATGCTACCAAACCAGCTCATTAATGTGGGAGAGACAAAGTGCATGGGATTCATGGGTAGAACACCTGGATTTGAGGCTGTCAGACATACACTATTCAGTTTTAAAGAGAGGGGAAGGATCATTAGCACACTTTGATGACCACCAAATTTCAGTTTGGTTTGTTTAGAGATGCAGTATGATCTTGTAAAAAATGGAATGAGAATGCTTAGCCACTGGATCTGAGGCTGTAGTGTAAACCAACACTGCAGGGAAAGGAGAAAAGGTAACAGGGAGAGATGACCTCCTAGAACGAAGAAGTGAGTGAAAGCCTCAGTACCCTTTCCCAAAACTACCATGATTCTGAAGTTGTTAGGAAAGACAAGTGTCTCCTTAGGGCATGTCGCTTGTGAAGTTGGGAGGACAAAGGCAAGGGCAGGCCCATGCTCTGGTTCTTGTGGCCTCCATTATGTAACACCGCCTGCCATCTTTGCCACTCTTGTTTGGAACTGTGTTGGGTTTGAACTGTAATTAATTAATAACTATTTATCTTTACACTACTTTTTATAACATTCAAATGTGTTTAATTTTATAGCTTTTTGCATTGACTCCTCCCGGAGACTAAATAACCAGTACCTGATCAGGGATCACATGGCTGTTCATTATAACAAAATCCTTTCAGCCAAAGGTAAAAACATCCAAACATGAAACTTCTACACCCAGTTTTAGCTCCTTCCTTCACTTTGCATTAGAATAGACCTGTAACAGGAATTGGGTTGTAGAAAGTTTTTTGTTTTTGCTGGTTCGGTTCCTTGCTGATGTCAGTTGGCTGCTTCCCACTACTAAAAAATATGAAAAGTCATTCAGTAACTTTGTGTTTGGTTGTTTTTCTCACATTAACATTTTGTTATTTTATTCATTCGGGTGATGATAGAAAGTTACTACTTTTATTTAATGATGTTTAGTGCTGTGAGTCTGTCTTTGATTTCCCTTCATTTCGCTCTGTTTTGTTGCTGATGCTAAGTAAATTGCATAGACCAAAAAAAAAAAAAATACTTCATTAGGATAGAGTAAGTAAACACAGATTAGTTACATCAGAATAAATGTACAGCATTTCATCTTTTAAAAACAAACAAAAGAAACCCCCAAAAGGCCTAATTTTCAAAGGTGCTAAACACTAAGGGTTCTCATTGCAGTCAGTGGAAGATGTGAGTGTTTAGCACTTTGAAAAATTTCCCCAAATGTTGGTAAATTAATATAATCTATTATTAATCTTTGTTATTCATACAGCAATATTAATAAGTTTTGTTCTTTCCAGAGAAGTAAATTCAAACTTTAGAGTAATGTTTTCACAAAGCAAATGTTAGGAAGTCTGGAACTTCAGAGTAAAGGTTCCATGCACACCTTAATCTTCTCTGACAGAGGAATGGGCACTCATGAGAAGGATCAGGGAGATTGTTTTAGTTTGGGTGAAGATACGGTTGGGTGAGTAGCTGTGATCAAATTGAGCTTATAAGGGAAAGCTAGTCAACCACTGCCTCTTCATAACAGTGCAGTTTTATATTGATTCCTTATGAATTAAGAATCCAACACTTTATCCTCTTTCTTGCCTCATCCATTTTTGCTTGTTGTGGGATGACGGTCAAAGGAAATCAGGCTAATGATACTGCTATTCTTCAGTTATTAATAATCAGTAAAATTCAGACTCAGAGTATGAATAAGAAGATAATGCCAATAACTATCTTTATTAGGCACAGAGGAAGCACCGAAAGGTGAATCAGAGGCTCCAGTGTGTGCTTTATTTACAATTTTATTTTTCTAAAATTGCGATGGGAGGAAGAATACTGACTCTTCGGCTTGTCTGTGCCAATATATTGTCAGTGTACAGGTTGATGTTGTTTAGCTATAGCTTTTGCTTTTCTTTGGATCTCTGCCAAGGAATTCATTCTTGCAGCTGCAGCATGCTTCCAAATACACTCTCCTCTCCTGATTCATATTTGACAGAAATATACTAGAATCAATCACATTGCTTTAATATGCACTCATTCTCACTATCCATATGATCACAGTAAGTGATATGAAAAGTTTCTATCTGCTTCTCATCTGCTACTGTGAGTTCTGGCTCTCACAATAATAAATATATGGCAATAGGGTGAAACAGTAGTTGCACCATTCTAACTTCCATATTAACTGAAATGCATATTTCTGTCCAAATGGTTTTTAACTTTGAATATCACAAGCAACTTGCTCCAACTGAGGAGTTGCAGTTCTCAGACATTTATGCAGGCTGCTTCACAGATTTCCTTAACGTGCACAACCTTTTCATTTTAATCTCTTATTCCAGTTTGGAGAGGTTAATTCCCAACTATCTCTGTCTTGTATTGTATATGGAAATTTTTTGCACCAAAGCACAATTCAGATTTCATACCACCCATTACAACCTTCTGAAGCAATACCTTTTCCATTTCAATTACATAGAACGGCTAATTCAATTTTTTGTATAAAATTAGTGCAAATCTTAGTACATTTTGCTTAACTAAGGCAAAACTATGCCCAAAGTTTGAATATTACTGAAGTTTAGAAACTTATGATGCTGTCCTTATGCAGTGTTTACAGTCAACCTTTCATTAAAGAATCAAGTGAAAAAAGTAGGTTACAAAGCTCTGCCTAACTTTATTTTTTAAGTCAAATAATAGAATATAATGTGCCGGATCTGGGACAGTGTCCCAAGGGTCATTGGGAATTTATTAACTATTTTGTGTGCGTAGTATTAAAAAAAAAGTAGATTTTTTTGTGTGTTGTTCGTTTTAAATTTCACAGCCTATTCCCATGCTTCATGGCATAAACTGGTCCCAATCCTGCAAATATTAATGCTCATACTTCAGGCTGCGAATCATTCATGGAGGTCATGGAAGTCACGGCTTCTGTGACTTCCATGACCTCCATGAATTTTGCAGCGTTGGTGTAGCTGACCCCAGGGCCATCCCAGCAGCTGGGGAAGTTGGTAAGATTTAGTCAGATATTTTTGGTAAAAGTCATGGACAGGTCACGGGGCCGTGACTTTTTGTTTATTGCCCGTGACCTGTCCATGACTTATATTAAAAATAGCCGTGACTAAAATGTAGCCTTACTCATACTTAGCTTTAAGCACCTGAATAGTCCTATTGAAATCAATGGGATTACTCACATGCTTAAAGTTAAACACACATGTGTTTATAAGATCAGGACCTAGTTAAGGTCAGGAAGAAATTCCTCTCTCATGATATATTATCACAACACTAGATGCATTACACTTTTTCACTTTCTTCCAGCCATTCTCAGAGACAGGGTACTGGATACATAATTCGCTAAACTGTTAGCCTTTAATTAAACAAGTCTTTGTTTAGTGATATTTTAGTAATATATTGTTCTAACCATAGCAAATATTAAGAATAGGATCTTGCATAACTCACTTCTATTTTTTTTTATTGTTTTCAGCAGCCGTAGACTGTTCAGTGCCAAAAAGCAGGTTAACCAGCATCAAATGTAAGTATTTCCTATGAGATGTTAATTCTTTAAAAAGTTTTATAAAGTTAGGGTGTTATTTGCTATTACTAAGGCTACGATTTAATCATGGGTATTTTAGTAAAAGTCATGGACAATAAACAAAAATTCATGGCCCGTGACCTATATGATTATATGGCTATATCATAGAATCATAGAATATCAGGGTTGAAAGGGACCTCAGGAGGTCATCTAGTCCAACCCCCTGCTCAAAGCAAGGCCAATCCCCAGACAGATTTTTACCCCAGTTCCCTAAATGGCCCCCTCAAGGATTGAACTCACAACCCTGGGTTTAGCAGGCCAATGCTCAAACCACTGAGCTATCTCCCCCCCCCCCCCATCATGACTTTTACTATAAATACCCCTGAC